AGTCATGTAGACAAAGATGCACACTATTAATCAGATGTTTGAAAACATCAAAGCAGTGTCACTTACTGGGTACCTTAAATTTGGTAGGTTTTCCTCTTCCTCCCCTTTTTCACTGTAGATGTAAAACCACCTGTATAGCAGTATTAAAACTGCAGAGGTTGCAGCTTTAGCCTACAGTGTGAACTGCATGGAATTCCGTTGTACTAGTTTAAAGTTAAGGTATTAATACAGTTAAAATTTAGTTTATTTATATATACTCCCCCCTCCCTCCCCCGCAGGGTGTATTTTCATTCTGGTGCTTTATGTATTTTGTTATTTACATTCAGTTATTCCACTGCTGTTCCCTGTTGTTTCCTATCGTTGCCATTATAACTATCTTGTGGTGTTGTGCCCTCCCTTCACATTATCTCTTCAAGGTTTGAGGTTTCTTTGTACTTGTGTGATCTCAAACAACATCAGAGCTATGGAACCTACTCCGTGCAAATTTTCCTTTTTTAAATAAACTCCTTGAGTTTTGTCAACAGCTTCAGATGATTAATCAGTCCTCTGGATATAAGTGTATACGTGTRCTAGAATCTGTCTGTTCAAAGATACCTTAAATGAAAAATAAATTGTAAAAGGAGACTATATCCATAAATATAAGCAAGAGTGGGGGAAGGGAGCAGAGTTAGGGTTGAGCTTTCAACCTTAATTCTGTATTTCAAGAGTTCTGAATGCTTGGTTTGTTAGCATTAGTGCTGCACTAACTTAGGGTATTTTTCCATGAGAGTGTGTGTGTTTAACCAACTAAGCATGAAATCCCTTGCTTCTGTTTGTCCCTATTAAATAGTGGCAACAAAAGAAACAGACAGGAGATGGGTCCAGAACAAAGCAGAAATAATGGAGTATTTCACCCCAAAAAGGAGAGTGAAACGAGAAGTACAATGAGTAGGCAAAGACAGACTCAACAGCTGGAGGCAGTTTAATGTGTTGTAGAGAGTAGTTATTCAGGGACATTTGCTGCCCAGAGCTTCAATCTGTGATCTCTGGGCAGCACATACATCAGAAGTGTTTGGCCATCCCTGCTATAAACATAATATGCTTTTCCCTGAAGAAATCTCCATAGGGCTTTAAAGGGACACTGTCTAGGATTGTCAGCATAAGTACCAATCCACCTAAACCCAGAATCATCTAAGTGGGTTAGAAATCTGTAAGGAGAAGTAGAGCTGGCTAACTTCTTCCCTTAACACTTACAAAATTATTATACATGCACATGTAGCATTCATGCGCACTTAGAAATAAAGTGAAAGTAAYAGTGCTGCTAGTATTGCACAGATTTCTACAGACTGCAGCACCTCTTACCCCCAGTTTCCTGGATAAATCCATCCTTTAAAAAAAAACCTGTCTAAAAGCATACATTTTTTACAGAATACCCTGTTTTAGTTTTCAGTACTTAAAAAATATTTTAGTTCATTAGAAAATGAACTCCTGACTCTCCCTGGCTGCCTATTTTTGCCTGCCCATGTTCTCTATCCAGTGGCTATAGATTTTAGTGGGTTGTTCTCAAAAATGGTGAAAGCTGACACTTTGATATGTCATTTCATTTATATTAAGTAAAGGTCTTACCCTGATAGGATGAGAAGGCTCAAAAAAATGTTGCATTTTTGTTCCTAGCAGTGGGGCTCGATTACATGACCATATCCCAAACAACCTTTCAGTGATTGCACCAACTAGCTCTGCTTGACCCTGTATTTGTGGTAGTGCAWTGTTTTCTTTCTGTTGTCTCTGACATTTTATGTAAGAGGCACTGTTTGGGTTTAGAGTTTGTTTTGTAATACCTAAAGGGCAGGATTTTATTGCACATTGAGCAAATCAGATTTAGGAATCAATGGAGGAGACTTCCAGGTTCATATCTGGCAAGTTAATTCAAGTTTCTCTTATGACCTTTGGGTTGACCAAATGGAATGGAAAGTATGCTGGTTTGGGAAAGAACTAACCACTAGTTGTGAATTGAGCAACTCTCTCAATGTTTTTGATGTATCTGTGTTTTGGAATTCTGGAATGACTTCTTTAGTTACTAGTACACATTTTGTGCAGTTTTGTGGTTTTCAGAGTACACTGTAATATGTGATGACATCTTAAGTAATGTGTAACTGTAGTCCGTGGTTATAAAATATTTCACGATGCATTTCCTGTCCATAATAAAATGCAGAATATAAGATGCAATTTTATTTGCATGGTCAGTGACTTCTGAATTTTCTACTCTCTACAGATACTGTGCTACTAGATGCAGCTGCCAAACTTGTGATAATAAACGTTCAGTCTCTATAATGGATGCCTAAGTAGCCCTAAGTTTGTTAGGGACCCGCTGAGAGAACAGGAAGAGAGTGATCAGGCTGTTTGTATCAGCAATATTTCYGATGTGAAAGAAATTCATTGAGCTTGACTAAGGAGTGTTGCGAAACTATAAAGTCTAAATATGTTATTACAAGTATCCCTTGCAGTGTGTTGTAGAATTTCTCATCTCAGTTAAGTTCTATACAGATTAGCTTAAGTTTCAGCAGCTTTTTGAAGCTAGAATATTAAAACCTAGTTTTCACTACAACTAAACCAAGCTACTGAAGGAAATTAGCCTAGCAGAAGGATGAAGTCATGAATATAGCAAAGATAAAGGAAACATATAAAATAAAATACAAGAGTGGTCTGGAGGAATCAATGTGCCTGTCTTATAGGGATATTTCTGAAACTTTTATGCCTAGCTGTGCTTGCTGGGGAAGGATAAGTGAGAGGGTGGTGGGTCTACTTATGCTACTTTGAAGATGCAATTTGATGTGGATTTTTGATCATGTGTTCAATCCACAGCACGTAAAGATTCTGCAGACTAAGACTTAAGGAGTCTGCTATAGAGAGATGCTGAAGTTCACAAGCCTGCCTGTTACCCATAGAACCTCCATGTATGTTCTGCAAAACATATAGCAGAAATTATCTTTCGCAAAACTAGAAGTTATTAGATGTTGTCAGGCCTGAGGAATTGTGTCTAGCTGCATAAGAACTGGCAAGTGGCTGGACAGAGAGAAGCACAGAATTCCATCAGCTTGTCTATTCTTTATGTTTTTACCAATGTGACATCAAGAGGTTGTTGCAGAGATGCCATGCTGACAGGGACAAATTGAATCCTTTTAAATACTGGCTGTAGAGGATCTGACACACAGCCTCGGGAGCTCTGGCAAACTCCGAAGAATTTTATGTGGCTTTCAGCTTGATATCCATTAAGTGGAAGCTCTRTTTAAGGGAGTTTATGTTGTTTGATGAACTCAGTTGGCCTTTCTCACTTAAGTACCACAGTGGAATATTTGCTGTGGCTTTGTAGAATCTGTGAGATAAGAATAAACCAGTAAATAACAGAACATCATTAAATAAAGTTAGAAGGCATGTTTATTCCCTTTAAGGTAAGGGGACATACAAGAGCAAACCTTCTTAAAGAAAATAATTTTTGAAACAAATTTTGGCAGAGGCAAAGCTATTGTTTTTTAAATCTGTTGCCTTTATTCAGCTAAAATATTACTGTAAATATTTTTACTTCTAAAGTATTTCCTTTCACTCTTTTAAAAGGTGCTGAAGTAGTTTTTGCAGCTTTCACTGATTTTTTTTTTTTTGCTTCTTTAAAGTAATGAAAACTGTTTTGGCAGCATGTGTAATAGCTTACCATCTATACTGAAAGAATCCAATTAAAGTAGTGCGTTGAGTGAGCTGTCCTTTTATAATCACATTCTCACTGGACGACTTGCTCACAGGGTCAGACCCCACTGTTTGCATTAGAGTCTTACTGACATCAGTTCAGTTTCTCTGCTCCTCCAGTAGCTCTGAGTAACAAAACCTGGGTAGTAGTAAAGACAAACTAGGTAAAGGTTGTAAAGACTGGATTTCTTTTCCCACAATCAGTGCAGTGATTGACTTGTGGATGACATGGAAATAAAGACCTGGGGCTTTGTGAAAACAGAATGTGTGAGAAGGGATTGATTGCACAGACATGTTTTCCCTTCCTTATTAGAGCAGATGTCTTCCTCTGATGTAAAGTGGCACACACTGGGCAAAAAGGTACTTAAATATATATAAGGGCGGTGGAGATCTGCCTTTGAAATTAGCAGGTAATTATGCTCTGTACATAAAATAGAAACTTCCCAGCTTTACTGGAATTGCGTGCTTTTAGATTTTTACATAAAAAGTTTCTAAATTGCATATAAATGAAGAACTGAAGAACTTGATGGGGGCCTAAGGAATCTTTTCTATGAACTTGGTCTACTTTGGCAAAACTGTTTAAGAGAAGTGAGCAGAACTCTGAAGTAGGCTTTGTGCAAGAGATTTTTATATGTTTATGTTGTGATTAATTTGTACTTCTCTGGGGAAAGTGAGTGATCAATCTCTTTTTTACTAGATCTATGTCTAGCAGAGTTTATTTATTTTTTTATTTACAAGCTGTACCCTTTAACAGCTGTTACTCTGAGCTGAAATACATGACAAAGCAAGCCCAGAAAGGACATCAGTGGAGCAAAGGTCCCTGATTTTGTTTTGTGACAATAGGTGGAGCCTGGCCAGCAGCTGTTCAGGAGTGGCTCTGATATTCACACCAGGTATTGCATGAAATTAGCCCAGGAAGGAAACTCATGCCTAATAAACTGCAGAGCTGTGTAGGGCATGTGCCTCTCTCGTGGTGTGAGGAGTTTGTGCTACTTGGAAATGGATATCGTATCCCTCACACCAAATCTTTGAGGACTGGGCAAAAAGTTAACATGTACATTTCTTTTCTCATAAAGTTGTTCTAGATTTTAGTTGAGGTTGTCTTGGTCTATTAATTGTTGGCTTAGTCAAAATAATAAATAGGAATAATAATTTGCTTCTCTCCAATGCCTTTAGGTTTATCAACTTGCTTCCTAGAACGTTGCTGAATAAAAATGTGCCAAAAAAGAAAAGTAACCTCTTCATTTTGTTTTTGTTTTGTTTGTTTTGCCCTCACCTGGCAGTGTTTCAGAGCACTTTGCTGCAAGGGACCGCCACCACCGCGACCTGAGTATGACTTGGTTTGCATTGGCCTCTCTGGTTCTGGCAAGACAAGTCTTCTGTCTCAGCTCTGCAGTGAAAGTGCGGAGAATATCGTGTCTACCACAGGTAGGACGCTGCCTTTATTCCATGGTGTGCTGGAACATGACTGAATGGTAGCTTCTGAAACACATAGCAAAGGCTGTACAGAACTTCAGTCTGCTTATCTTGCTGTTGAAAGTGCCTGCATTACTTTAAAGCTAGCAATTCTTTGTTTCACTATTTGTTCATACCTTGAGGAATATCCTTGAAAAWACACAATTTGGAATGTGTCGAACGTCCAAACATTGTGTTCTAGTGAGGCAGAACCATAACATACAGTGGCACTGTACTGTAGACACACATTAAAATGTTTATTTCTTCTCATTTTACTGTTGATTTTTAAGCAGTCTCACTATTTATTGGAGAGAAAAGAAGAGAATATGTTGTAAAATAGAATAGGACAATGATGCTCTGAAAGTTAATTAGGGATTTATTTCTGTATRTGTTTGGCTTATAATGCCTTGTGGTATGTGCTAGCAACCAGAAGAATAAATGTAATGGAAATATGGTTTTTTGGTGATAATCCCAGCTTTTTAGATGAGCAATAGGCTTGTTTATTTAGTACAGKCAGATTGAGATCAAAGAACCAATTTACAACAAGTTTCAGTGGTATTGAGAAGACACATAAAAACAGCACAACCACAGATAAGAGGTATCTTGAGTCCAAAAAATTTGAATAGGCATCTTGATAAAGATGAACCAGAGTGTCTAATACTGAAAAGCATGTTTTGATTAAAAAAACCCCAAAACAAAACCAACCAACCAACCAACAACAACAAAAAAWATCCATCTAAGAACAGAACAGCACCAGAAAAACCAGAAACAAACATATGAAATGAAAAAAGGGAATACTTGGCTGCAAAGTTCAGAAAAAGGGCAGATTAGGTCATGGAGATTGAAGAAATCTGGTTCAGTTGCTGCAGCAGTTATTAAGGTTGATTTGCTGATGGAAAAGATACTAAGTGTTCTGCAAGTAACTTGTGTTTACAGTTACATGGCTTTGTATTGTACTGTGGTTCATGGGCTTGAATTTTATGATTGTGCTGTAACAACTCTAACTGTTTCTTTGAGTATGTTTGCTTAATTGACAAGAACATAAGGTTATTCAATTCTACTGTAAGTAAAACGTAAAACAGGTGCGAGAAAACAGTGTTTTTCTTACAATGAATAATTAATCTGTTGCCTCTGTGGTGGTGTCATTGGCAATGTTAGAAAGATCTGACACTTAGTAGTGAGAAGGTGACTAACTCAAAAAGTTAGAAGGAAATTGTAATTAGGTTTTTTTTTTTTTAATTTTTTTCCTCCCCTCTCTTGAGGTTTATCTCTGGAATTAGAAAAAATTATACTTTAACACTTTAGACCCTGACAGAAATAGTAACAGCAATATAAATCAAAGTATAGGGCTCTCAAAGGACGTCATGAAAATACTATTAATTAAAAATAAAATTGCTTTTATTTTTCTAGAGATACACAATAAAAAACCATTATTTAATCAGGCAAATTGAGGAATAAAAACCAGTTCTGGAGGATACTCAGCAGACAATCCAGATAAATGCATATCTAAGGGTATTCATCTTATAATAAATCTTCTTAAATGTGGTATACCAGACATTATTGTGAATAATCCAGGAATAGAATGTGACAATGTCTCCACTCAGGTTTCAAACTATAACCTATATTTTTGATTTTCTCTTCAATGTCACTGAGGTCCATTCCAGTTTTTCCTTCTCTCTAGGAAGAGTTTAGGATTTATTTTAAAATAACAATCCCCAGATTATTTCATAATTACTCCCTTCAGACTTTCTTGTACTTTCCTCTATTGCATCTAGCACTGACTATAATAGGAGCACTGTAATATCTTCTTGGCCTAACCAAGAAGRAAAAAACATCTTGTTAAATGATAGCTAATAAACTTGAAGTGAAACACATTTTTTCAAAATTTCTTTACTCAGTTTACAGGTATGTAATCGTGTTGAAACTACTTGTGCTAGATGTAAATAAATGTAATGTCTGTCTGGATTTTATGCTGAAAGAGCAGACATGTCTTTATTTTATGCTGAAAGAGCAGACATAATTTCTCCTATATAAATTGTTATATACACTTGCATGTATGTATGCACTAAACATGCAAAATTTAGTATATAATACATTGATATATTGCTAGGAGACTTTCACATTCCCTTTCTCTTTTCTGTCTGAATTTTCAATTAYGGGTAAAGATCACATTTTGATGGTGTTTTTTTGTTTGATTGTTTTTTTGGTTTTTTTTATTTTTTTTTGAGTTTAAAAGTAAAAAAGGTAATAGAGGATTCATAGTGTTTCCAGTGTGCTTAAATCCATTTTAACACATCCAGCTAAGGTCTGTCGAAGGATCTTTCAGGTAATAAAATTTATAGACAAGATTAATAATCCAGGTGCAGCCAAAACCTGTGAAGTTTAAATGGAAGAAAACAGTGATTTGAATTGCATGTTGTCTTCAACATCTCCTAAAATGTGCAGAATGATCACTGCATATTACTGGTAGACTGAATTATCCACTTTAGTTCCAGATGCAGTAAAAGAAGATTTTATAGAAGTATATTTTTGTAGACAGTCTGGATGGAAATTTTGTGCTGAATTTTGTATGCCAGATGCTTAAAATTGAAAATTTCATTGCTTATACTGATTTATTCTCTTCCCCCTCCCTGGCGCCCCTCCACCTCTTACCCCCTTCCTATCCCCTTATAACTGACTTTTTAAACAGCACATTGAAACAGAATTGCAAACATGCAAAATCTGGTTCTTCATGAAGCTGTTCTTTCTGAATATATGCAATTGATTCCCAGTGGTCCCTTTAACAAATAGCTTACTAATGCTCTTTATTTCTCTTCCTAGGTTTTAGTATAAAAGCAGTGCCATTCCAGAATGCGATTTTGAACGTAAAAGAACTTGGAGGTATGGCATTTATTCATTTGGTTATAAAAGCATGCAGTGTCTAAATCTCATCAGAACTGTCAGTTGTTTTAAATCATTAGTTATTTTAAATTTAAAAATGACAGATCAGTGCAGCTGGAATTAAAAATGTCAGCAGATAAAGTTGGGAAAAGTTGTACAAGTCTTGACCTCAAAAAACAAAGGGTTAAAAACAGGAGGAGTGGAAGGTGTGTGGTGTATCTCCTTAAGGAAATTTTCTTGGATTGCAGTGGTTAAATTATGTGGAAATACAAAGTGSACTGTAATTTTAGTGTGGCTCACGTGGCAGCTCGAGGAAGTGTGTTCCTTGTGTTTATTGTATGTGTAAACTTTCACTTAGGAGAACTGGCTAAGGTAACTATGTGAACATTTGTCAAAACCAATACATTTACTGCACCACTGAAAGTGTTGCAAAGGCAGCCAACTTCTAATGAGTTATATTCTTTGAGAACTGTTCTCTTGTTGGATTTATTGGATTTTGGAGCGACAGTTGTTTTATGGTTGAGGGATTTAAAAAAAATTTTCTATATAGAGGTAACCTATTTGGCTCCCAGTTCGGACTGCGAGTCTCAAGTCACCAAGAGCTTGTTACAAGGAAGAAAACACTCTCCTCATGAGAGTTCTTGTGGAGTCTAATGTTCTTCTATTTTAAAACCCACATAGATCTTCTTTATATTCTAGAATTTCTATGTATCTCCTTTTTTGCTTATGTAAATATAGTAGAATTAATATTGAGGATATTGGTGAGATTTTTTAAGCAAGGTTGGAACCACTCTTAAATGATCTGGGGTAGAATATAGCTTGGTTTTTGAGGGACGTTTCATTGTTTCAAGAAGGCTTTGAGATAAGCACATGTAAAAAGCACAGCATTTCCTCTTTATTGCCACTGGTCCATGGATTGAAATATGCTTCTGTTTGAGCATGTGTTCTGTAAAAAAAACCAGTAGTTATCCTCAGGGACAGTATAGATATTGCTTGTATGTTATGTGAATAATGTGCATTTAGTCATAATGTCTCTTACTGATTTTTCTTTAAATAGAGTGAATCATTTGTAGTCTAGTTTATACGTGCAGATACCCAAGCTATATGAAATATATAATTCATAGAGGTAAATAAAATTTTAAATCAATAATTGAATCTGTGTGTGCTAGTAGATCCCTCTTAAAGTCTCTTAATCTTTTCTGATCATGCAACTTTTATTTTATGCAGGTATATATGTTTTGAGAAATCTTATCTTAGCAGAGGCTTTGGGGTCATGATGAGAAGTAATCCAGAATATTTTGGTTTTTTAATCTATTTCTCTCTTTTCAAAGACAGAACAATTGTCAGAATTTTTTACTGCATCTTTTAATTTCTTTTTCCTTTGACAGTGGGTGTTTGCATGTCTGTATTTAAAAATTATGTAGTCTGTTTTCTTCTATGAAATATTATTGAAAAAGGATAATTCTGTTGACTTTACATTGCCTGGGTAAGGGACCAAAAGGAAGCTTCCAAAAATTTCTATTGTTCCAAAAACTGCTGGTCACAAATGGTGCTCCCCAGGGCTCAGAATGGGTCCCAGTTTTGTTTAGTATCTTTATTGGTGTCCTGGACAAGGGGATCGAGTGCACTCTTGGTCACTTTGCAGATGACACTGAGTTGGGCTGAGTTGATGTGCTGGAGAGCAGGAAGGCTCTGCAGAGGGATCTGGACGGGCTGCGTCCATGGGCTGAGGCCAATGGGGTGAGGTTCAACAAGGCCAAGGGCCGGGTCCTGCCCTTGGCTCACAACAACCCCAGGCAGTGCCACAGGCTGGGACAGAGGGGCTGGAAAGGACCTGGGGGTGCTGTGACAGCAGCTGAACATGAGCCAGGGTGTGCCCAGGTGGCCAAGAAGGCCAATGGCATCCTGGCCTGGATCAGCAATGGTGTGGCCAGCAGGAGCAGGGCAGGGATTGTCCCCCTGTCCTGGGCACTGCTGAGGCCACACCTCSAGGGCTKTGTCCAGTTCTGGGCCCCTCCCTGCAGGAAGGAACTGAGGGGCTGCAGCGAGTCCAGAGAAGGCAACGGAGCTGGGGAAGGGTCTGGAGCACAAATCCTGTGAGGAGCAGCTGAGGGAGCTGGGGGTGTTCAGCCTGGAGAAAAGGAGGCTCMGAGTGACCTCATGGCTCCCTGAACTGCCTGAGAGGAGGCCATGGCCAGGTGGGGGTTGGTCTTTTCTCCCGGGCAGCCAGTGACAAGATTGAGAGTTCAAGATCTCAAGCTGCACCAGTGGAGGTTCAGGCTGGACATATGGGAGAATTTCTTCGTGTAAACAGTTGTTAAACATTGGAATGAGTGCCCAGGGAGTCACCATCCCTGGAGGTGTTCAAGAAACAATGGAACATGGCACTTAGTGCTGTGATCTAGTTTAGAAGGTGGTGATAGGATAAAGGCTGGAATTGGTGACCTAAGGGTCTTTTCCTACCTAAAGCATTCTGTGGTTTCATAGTCAGCATTTAACCTTTCGTTGAGAAATGTTTTCTTGTGTGATGAGGGTGAAACCTTTATTTTCATATAGGAACAAGTGAGAATCCTTTCCTGCAGTGGGCGTGTTTTTTCTCTTGCTCCTATATGAAACTGAAGCAAAACAGTTTACATACCTGATTACTTTTAAATTTTATTTTTGAATTTCTGCTTCTGATGTTGAAGAGAAACCCATGTTTTTGTCTGATTCCTGTGGATTTTTTTGCCTTGTTTCTGGTTTTTGCCTTTGGTCATAATGGTATTATTATATAACTTCTCTTTACTGTAGTGTAGAGTTCTTGTCCAGGCATTTGATCTTGAAGTTTGGTGGAAAGCAGAAGACATCAATTTTTAACAACCACTGTCTATTGTTACATGTTATTTAGTGAGTGAAGTTCTACATAGTTTTAATTTTTGATACTTTGTCTTTTTAGGTGTAGGTAACAGAAAGCTTCAGATGCCATCACATAGTAACCTATTAACAGCCAATATTTAAAACAGAACACAAGTTGTTCTGCTTAAGGCTCTTACATTCAGCAGCCACGCACCTACAGAGGTGAAACAGAGGCTGACTGTGTAGTGTCCTTCCTGTTTGGTTGAAGTAGTACTGTTCCTTGAGGTTGAAGATGGTGCTAGTGTTTACTGTCCTGGTTGTATCCAAAGCCGCTAATGAGGCCAGGGTTTATTTTTTCATTTCTACAGATATTGTAATTTTTTTGGCAAAATATATAGAACGTAGTCTCCTTCAGTCTCTTCCAGGACTGATTATCTCTTTATCCTACTTTAAGATTTAGGGGCACAGAGCAAAGTTTCTTGTGCTCCCGTTGCAGAAGTTTTTCTTTGGAGTTCATGATACTAGAATATCAAAAATCAAACTCCAATTTCTGTTTTTTTAATTGTTTTTGTTTCCTAAGACAGGAAGTTGCCTTCCTAACCAAAAATAAAGGTTTTATCCAATTTCGTAAATGGTAAATGTTTCATTTAAAAACCTTRATTTTGATCCTGAAAGAGTAAGAATTTATAGAGCTTTCAAATCTAACATTACGCATGCTTGAATTACCTAAAAAGAAAGTCTTGCTTTATTTGCTGACCAAATTGAACTCCTGTTCTCTAACTTGCAATTTTGCTATACCGATAGTGCCTTCCTGATCCCCAGGAAACTAAAAAAATAACCTTTTTCTTTTTTTCCCCCAAAAATTTGGTCTATAAGATAATTTGTGTAATTTAAATTATTGTGGAGATATGCCATGCACTAGTCCAAATTCTTTCAGAATGAACTATTACCAGGACAATACCTTTTTTTATGCAATTCAACTGAGTAATGGTATGGAAAGAAACTACATTTGTGGTGATTCCCTGTTATGGGGAAATAGTTTTTGGTGGGAACTAGGATGAAATTGTGTATGATGAGCATACAGAATAGTGGAAAGAAGACTGGAAAGGTCATAAGACTAGGGCAGGTCATAACATTTATTGTTCAGAAGATTCTGACAGTGTTTTGTTGAAAAAGGTTTGAGATGCTGGATGCCAAAATTGGTTCTCAAGATAGATAATGGAGGTGTAAAGGCAATAGGAAGCTTTCTCTTCGATTCTAACAAATTCTGACTTGTGGACACAGTGGCTGAAATCACCATTTATTTCCTGTTTTTTTTTAAAGTCATTTGAAGTTGTAATGCTGTCAAAACAGAATATGAAGTTGTGGTTTAGGTATTTGTTCAAACCTATATCAAGATTTAAGGTCCTTCCTGGTAGTCAACTAAGAATTTCCAGTTGTCTTTTTAGAGTAATTTATTTTATTATTTGGTTTCGTATCTTATAAATACAGGCTTAGAAACTAGTGAGGTGCCAAATAYTGAGTCAAGTCCAATTTAAAAGAATTCTTCTGGATATGAGCTGCTCTTCTACTTTTACAAAGTTAAAAAGTATGAACAGCATGCTACAGGGTTTAGTAATGTTCCCTCTTTTATTTATTAAAATACATTGTCATATGTTTGTGTTAAGTTTTGTGATTCACCCTGAAATCTTTTTCTCAAACATGGAGACTACATGTTTTGTAGTCATACTGGAAGATTCATTTAAGACAAAAATGTTTYAAGTGCTTAGCAAGAGTGGAATGGTTAATATCAGGAGTGCTCTTGTCTCCAGTTGGTTGAGCATGCCCGGGAAAAGAGATGAGAACTTGCATCCCCACTGCTGTTACTTCTTAAGCTTGATTACCGAAGTCATAAATTCACATTCTTAGGCCAGCTAAATTAATTGTCTRAGTGACAGTTTGAGAACAAATGGCTTCAAATCGGTTTGGTTAAACAAAGCATGAGTATTTTGCCTTAATTTGGAAGTCAAGAGCAGCAGAAAAGAGGGTAGGAGGAGAAGCCACACTGTTGTGTAGTCCAAGTTGAACAGCAAATATGAACTTCTGGAGAAGACAGCAACAGTTGTCAGGTATTTGGTGCCTGGTGAAAAAAAAATGGATAAGGGAGAAAGTAATGTTGCTTCATC